TTTCTGGCTGACTTCAAGATTTTATCTTTGGTTCTGCAGCAGTTTGACTAGGATGTATCTAGATGTGTTTTTCTTTGCATTTATTCCATGGGATTTTGCAGAGCTTCTTGGATCTGTGGTTTGTTGTCTTTTATTAGTTTTGGGGGAAAAATTGGCCATTTAAAAAATTTTAATTTTCTATTATTTCTGTTTCTATTTATTCTTCTCTGTTCTCTCTCCTTTAGCTAGGATTCCAATTACATATATACAGACCATTTGCACAGTTCTTGGGTAATCTGTTAATTTTTATTTTCACTCTTCTTACTCTTTATATTTCAATTTGGATAATTTATATTACACTATCATCAGGTTCAAGGATTCTTTACTTTGCTGTGTCCACTTTGCTAATAAACTCATTGACAGAATTCTTCATCACTGATACCGAGTTTGTTTCTAACATTTCTACTTGACTACTCTTAATAGTTACCATTGTTCTGCTGAAATTTCCCATCTGTTCTTAGAAGTCTACCTTTTCCACTGCACCCTTTAACATATTTATCAGAGCTATCTTGTCTCTATCTGATAGTTCCAACATTTTGGCCATCTCTAAGATCTGCTTCTGTGTCTCTTAAAATCTTTGACTAACTACCAGGCATTGTGTGTAATGGAACAGTAGTAAAGTAAATGATATTTATGCCTAGAAAGAAATTGAAGTATTTCTTATGTCATGGCTTTGGTATAGGCCTCAAGTCAATCTAATCTGTAGTTGATTTACGTTTAAGTTTTATTTATTTATCTGTTTATTTAGAGATAGAGGCTCACTATGTTGCCCAGGCTGATCTTGAACTCTTGGGCTGAAATGATCCTCCTGCCTCGGCCTCCCAAAGTGCTGGGGTTACAGACATGAGCCACGGTGCCCAGCTGGATTTAGGTTTTGTTGTTGCTATAGTTACCTTCGGTATACTACAGGCTCCAAATTTCTCCAGTGGTGGACTGTCCCTACATTGTGTTCAATGAGGACTTGAGTCCCCCAGTGTCCCCACTCTGTGCTCAGCATTGCATGCGTGCAACACAGAGGAAATCTCTCTTTGTGTTCTAGTCCCTTCTCCAGCGGTGGACTGCTGTTACTTGTTGCTTGGTGCAAGGCTTGTGGTGGAGGCAATGAATTCTTGATTATCCTGCTCTAGCTTCAGCCTTAGACAGTCTTGAGCCTGAGCCCCAGGAGTGGGGCCTTCTTAGTGTTCCTGTTTCTCCTCCAGTTTTTGACAACCTCAGCCTCTTGTTCAGTGCAGGTACTAGAATGCAGGCTGACTTCCTCCCCTTCACCCCCGTGGGAACTAAACTCTGCCTTACTGGTTGGGGGATCTTGAGTGGGAGTGAGATTCCTGCTCTTTTCCCAGTAGTAGCAGCAGCCCTCTGTTTTATATCAGTGCAAAATCCTGGACACTAATGGGTTGCCTCTTCCTTGCCAGTGTCCAGTGGCTTTTTCTTTGGTTTTCTTTTCTCACTCTGTTGCCCAGGATGGAGTACAGTGGTGCTATCATGGCTCACTGCAGCCTCCAACTTCCCAGGCTCAGGTGATCCTCACACCAGCCTCCTGAGTAGCTGGGACTACAGGCATGCGCCATTACATCTGGCCTTTTTTTTTTTTTTTTTTTTTTTTTAGAGACAGAGTTTTGCCATGTTGCCCAGGCTAGTCTCAAACCCCTAGGCTCAAGCAATTCGCCTACCTCAGCCACCCAAAGTATTGGGATTACTGGCATGAGCCAAGGCACCCGGCCCTGATGGCTTTTGCTTAGTGTCACTGTAGCATTGTGGTGGAAGGGTCTTCTACTCCTCCAGCAGAGGCAGTCAACATTTGCTTTATAGCAGGTCAGGGACCTGTGGGATGGGCATCTTAAATCAAAGCAAAGCCAGGGTGTAGGTGTTTATCTCTTGGCAGCAGCCAATTACCACCTTGCACTCATGCAGAGACCAGAGCACAGATGGGCTTCTCCAGGTACTCCTGCCCCACCCTCAACCCTTGGCACGTCTTGCATGGCTGTGTTACCATGGGGCCTCCCTCAGGCCCTGTCCCACTCCACATCATTCTCATGAGTGTCCAGTGGAGGACTGTAGGAAGAAACTATCTGGGGGTACAGGTTACCCTTGTGTCTGGGGCTCCCAGTAAACTGCCACTCTGGCTAATGCTCAGCCATTAAGATTTCATTAAGGTGTTAGTCATTTTCTCCTTATCTGCTTTTGCAGCAACTACCTATTCCTCCATGCTCTGTCAAACATGAAACAGATCATGTGTTTCATCCATCAAAGATAATGCATTCTGGTTACCACCAGAAACCAGTTTGCTTGGTGGCCTGTGACTTCAGCTTTCCAGTAGGCTAAAAAATAAAAATAAAAAAAAGATTTTGTACATTATTTAGCTTTCCCATTGTTATGATGAGAACAATGCTCCCATCTGGCTGTCTACTTTCTAGGTGGAAATCAAAATCATCTTAACAAGGTTTTTACACAATTAAAAAAATCTCCTGTTTAACGTTTCTATTATGACTATATGCATTACATTCCATATCAAGTCATGTAGCAGCGTTTCATTTTCTTGTACAACTTGGTTTTCTTGAAATTAATTGCTTCTTTTTATTTTTGCATTTACAAACTTTCTGTAAGACATCTCAAAAACAGTTTTTCTAGATGCTCAAACCTATTCGGTTGTCTATCTGCTCTCCTTTTCCTCTTCCTTAATTTTTTCTTGAAGAACTCCCTCCTAGGGCGTTCTTTTCTCCTGCTCCCTCCGGATGGGAAATGCCCTAGTCCTGCTGTTCAGCATCAACCCAGGCCTTCCCTTCACACATTTTCTGGGGAGTAGCTTTACCTCTCCCATGGTAGGACACAGGATTTCTTGTACCCTGTGTCTTCTTTCATGATTTACTCTCTCATTTTGTTGGAGCGCATCCTCCAGCAGCTTCTCAAGAAAGGGTGTGTGTTTTGAAATTTTCAGTAATCCTTGGTTGACCGTTCAAGAGAGGAGCACTAAAAACCTAATTGCTTGGCAGAGCTTAGTGACTGGTGAAATTTCACTGTAAGTTAGGTCTTGGCCATGACATCGAGGAACACAACAATGGAAGCAGCTATAGGATACTATTCTGGGAATGGTTAGCCCTTCAAAGACTTTTCTCCTGCCTTGGGGCATAACCCTGGCTGCTGCAGTCTTCTGGAATCTGAGTAGGGGAGGACATGGAGAGGGGATATTGTTTAATTGCCCCTTCTGCTCTGATTATGGTGCATCCTCTCTCCAGAGAGTAAACTTTGTTTGGAGCAGGATTGGGATGGTAGGATGGTGAGGAAACTCTTGAAAACTCGAGGTGGCAGGGGAGATCTGGGGACTGAGTTGGGCGTTAAAGACTCACAACCAATGAATCTTGTTTTTATTTTTATTTTTTATTTTTTTGAGACAAGGTCTCATTCTGTTGCCCAGGCTGGAGTGCAGTGGTATACTTTTGACTCACTGCAGCCTCCATCTCCTGGGCTCAGGTGATTCTTCCACCTCACCCACCTGAGTAGCTGGGGATACAAGCGCAGGCCACCATACCCGGCTAATTTTTATATTTTTCTGTAGAGTCAGGGTTTTGCCATGTTGCCCTGGCTGGTCTGGAACTCCTGGTCTCAAGCGATCCTCCTGCCTTGGCCTCCCAAAGTGTTTTAGATCACAAGCGTGAGCTGCCATGCCTGGACAACAATCCCTGTTTTTTTTTTTTTTTTTTTTTTTTTTTCTGAGACACAGTCTCACTCTGTTGCCCAGGCTGGAGTGCAGTGGCACCATCTCCGCTCACTGCAAGAGACTCCTGGGTCATGCCATTCTCCTGCCTCAGCCTCCTGAGTAGCTGGGACTACAGGCGCCTGCCCCCACACCTGGCTAATTTTTTGTATTTTTAGTAGGAGTGGGATTTCACCATGTTAGCCAGGATGGTCTCGATCTCCTGATCTCATGATCCACCCACCTCAGCCTCCCAAAGTGCTGGGATTACAGGCGTGAGCCACCGTGTCTGACCAACAATCCCTGTTTTTAGCCTCTTCCTTCATCCCCACTTCAGAAGTTCCTGATGCCTCCGGTTCTCAAGTGCTTTCAAGGTTGTGAGGCTTCTTGTCTCCCGCCAACACCACACCTCTCCCCACTGCAGGCACTTGGGTTCAACTTTTTTCAGTCTGCTAAACGTCTTACCAGGTGCCACCTACTTGTAGCCTCCAAAGTTTAGCTGACATCTCCCATCTCTGCAGTTGTTTTCTTTCCCATTGCTCTCTCTTTGTGCCTGTTTTCTAGGGAGTAACTTTACCTCTCCCATGGTAGGGTACAGGGTTTCCTGTACCCTGTGTCTTCTTTCATGATTTACTCTCTCGTTTTGTTGGAGCACATCCTCCAGCAGCTTCCTGAGAGGCTTTGTGCCTCTTTTCTTCCCCATTGTACTGTTTTTTGTGCCTATTTTCTTTCCCATTGTTCTGTGGCTTTATGCCTATTTTATTCATTCCCTCTCATGTTAATGGGGCTTTCAGGGGCACACATAAATTTGCTCTATTGAAGCAGAAGTTTATTAATTCATTTTAAAATGGAGGAAAATGAGGGCAGAGAGAGACAGATCCTACCCAAAGCCACATGATGAGTTAATAGCAGGACTGGATGGAGTTTACATGTTGCTTTCTCCCAAACACCTTCCGTCTGGGTAGAAGCTGGTGTCCTGGGGAAGCCCCCAGATAGACTGCTTTTTGGGAGGGGGAGTGTATCAGGCAGAGCTGCTAATGGCAGCCATTACTTGGTGGTCAAGGATTCTGGAGTCTTAGAGACCTGGCTTTGGGCAGATTTAAGTAAAGCAAGACCCTTTGCCCTTCATCCTCAGCTTCCTCATCTGTGAAATGCAAGAGTGGTGAGGGTCAAACAAGATGCTGCATGTCCTACTATTGGGACATGCCAGACACCTAGAAGTTAGAGGCTGTTCTTTTATCATCATGATGATGGCATGCACCTTTTCCAGGGCCAGAGCCAGTTCTTGGAGGAGACTCGGCACAGGGCATGGATCACTGTGGTACCCTTTTCCTGTGCCTGTGCCTTCTGACTTTGCAGAATGCAACAGCAGGTAAGGGAGCTCTGCTGAACTGGGGGCAGCCCTAGCCCAGTCCTGGGACTGCGATGCAAAAGGGGCAGGCATTAAACCCTGGGAGATTGAAAGGGGCCACTTAGGCTTCCTGGGGGCAGCAGGAGCTGCTTGTGAACTAGACTCTCAGACTGGGATGGAAAGCCCAGAGGTGGTGGGGCCAGAGGGTAGCTGAGACACAAGCTGAGGGGGAGGTGTGTCCCCACAGAGACATGGAAAGAACTCCTCCGCTACATGGAGAATATGCAGGTGTCCAGAGCCCGGAGCCCATTTTTTTCCTTTCGGTGAGTTGGACGTGGCCCTCTCCTGTTTAGAGTCAGCTGTGTCTCCCACCCCAAGCCTGCACCTTGAATCAGTGGGTCAGAGTTGGTCTAGTATAAACTCTTAACTGTGCATTTTTTCAGCACTTTTATTGAGTGCCTACTGCATGCCTGACACTAGGCTCTGTGGATGCAGGGTGGGCGTGTCACTGCCCTCATGAAGTTTATCATTGAGGAATGGGGGCCCTTAATCATGGATATCATGAAACTAAGTGCAGAATTGTGGGTCTCCATGCGTTTTCCTGGGAAGGAACTCTAAAATTCTGGCTGGGTTCTCCAGGGTCTGTGACCCAAAGACTGAGCAGCTCTGGGTGAGCAGACAATGCTGAAGACTGGTCAGGGATAAGAGCGGCTACTGGGAAGCTGTGAGGGAGCAGTCAGGGAAGGCTTCCTGGAGAAGGTGACAACAAACTGGGACCTGAACTGGAGTTAATCGAGAGGAGGGGATAGATGGGGTAGGGAGGTAACAGTGTGCCAAGGACACGGTGTATGCAGTGGTCTGGAGGTGGGAGTGACAGGGGTGTGGGTGGGGAGGCCCTGCCCTCCCAGGCTGTCTAGAGCTCCCTCTCACCCTTACCCCACTCTGGGCTCTGGCCTCCCTGGCCGTCTCTCCGGGCTGCAGTCAACTTCACCAGCTGGAGCAGATGCTACTGAACACCAGCTTCCCGGGCTACAACCTGACCTTGCAGACACCCGCCATCCAGTCTCTGGCCTTCAAGCTGAGCTGCAACTTCTCTGGCCTCTCACTGAGCAGTGCCACTCTGAAGCGGGTGCCCCAGGTCAGAGGCTGCAGGTGGTGGTGGTGGGGGCGTGGCCAGCTGCCCCTGCCCTAGAAGTCCTCCAGGGGTTTAAGGTCTGGACTTTCTTTAGGCTCCACCGTCCTCCTCCCCACACCCCCCAGTCCAGGCTCTGCCCTAACTGGCAGTGAGTTACCTCCTCTGTAAAATGGGGCTGATACTCGCTGTGTGAATTGTGGAAAGGGTGGTGCTTTATGGCCCCTCTGGGGCGGAGTCTTCTTCCTGCTTTGGCTGGAGGCTACCCCCTGGGGGAGGCAGCTGTGAGAGAGGCCAGGAACCCTGGCTCCTTTTAGGACCCTGGGATGATTGGCTGGATCCCTAGTGGGGGCTGGGCTGGGGCTGAGTGCTGAGGTAGCTCCATCTTCAGGGGCCCAGTGGGTCAGGTAAACACCCCAAACTCAGGAACAGCATGGAGGGAAGGCCTGGGATCTCGGGAAGTTTGGGAGGAGATGCAGCCTGGGGGGAGAAGGTTCTGTGGGTGGAAACCCCAAGGAAGGTTTCATGGGGAGTGGGAGGCAGTGAAGGTGTTGGGGTCAGGTCTACAGGTCCTGGTTGCCAGACTCAGCTTGTCTGTGACCCTCTGCAGGCCCGGGGTCAGCATGCCCGGGGTCAGTATGCCTGGGGTCAGCATGCCATGCAGTTCCCCGCCGAGCTGACCCGGGACGCCTGCAAGACCCAGCCCGGGGAGCTGCGACTCATCTGTATCTACTTCTCCAATGCCCACTTTTTCAAGGTCAGTGTGATGGCGGGCCAAGGAGGGTGGGTGCCGGCCCCTTCTTGGGATCCACTGCAGGTGCCCATGTCACTGCCTGGCCTCTAGGTGACCAGCACTGAGTGAGACCAACCAGTCGGCTGTGCAATCCAAGCCAGCCATTGTCCCTCTCTGGGCCTTAGTTTCCCTGCCAGCTTTAGCAGAATGGTAGGAAGGCACAATTACAATCTACAAATGAGACCTAAGAAACCTACTATGTGCCTGTCACTAGGCGGGACACAGACAAGAAGACACTTGTTCCCTGCACTCAGAGAACTCTCTGTCTTCATGCTTAGACTAAGACCTTAGAGGTTTGTTGTTGTTGTTGTTTTTGTCAGAGTCTCGCTCTGTTGCCCAGGCTGGAGTGCAGTGGCATGATCTCGGCTCACTGCAATCTCTGCCTCCTGGGTTCAAGCGATTCCCCTGCCTCAGCCACCCTGGGATTACAGGCGTGCACTACCATGCCCAGCTAATTTTTGTATTTTTAGTAGAAACCGGGTTTAACCATGTTGGCGAGGCTGATCCTGAACTCCTGGCCTCAAGTGACCTGCCTGCCTCAGCCTCCCAAATGCTAGGATTATAGGCGTGAGCCACTGTGCCCGACTGGACCTTAGAGATTTAATGTCAGCACAAGGTCGATAATAGCCATAAAGATCCAGAGCGATGGATGAGTCAGGGTGGGGTCAGGGCTCTTCCCAGTGGGCAGTCCAGGGGAGCTTCTGGGGAAGGCGCCTTTCAACCTTGGCTTTGAAAGTGTGTGAGGATAGTGGTGAGGTGGAGGGTGTGGGGCTGGAATGCATTAAACGAATGGGACGTGAAGCAGGGGTTGGTGAGAGGACAGCTTTCCACCGGGCAGGAACAGCACATGCAAAGGCTGGGAGGCTGGGAGGCTGGGAAGGCTGGGAGGCTGGGAGGCTGAGAAGGCTGGGAGGCTGGGAGGCTGAGAAGGCTGGGAGGCTGGGAAGGCTGGGAGGCTAGGGAGGCTGGGAAGGCTGGGAAGGCTGGGAGGCTAGGAAGGCTGGGAGGCTGGGAAGGCTGGGAGGCTGGGAGGAGGATAGTGTGGCAGGAGGAGGGTGTGGGGCTGGAATGCAGCCAAACGAATGGGACGTGAAGAGGTTGGTGAGAGAGGACAGCTTTCCACCGGGCAGGAACAGCACATGCAAAGGCTGGGAGGCTGGGAGGCTGGGAAGGCTGGGAGGCTGGGAGGCTGAGAAGGCTGGGAGGCTGGGAGGCTGAGAAGGCTGGGAGGCTGGGAAGGCTGGGAGGCTAGGGAGGCTGGGAAGGCTGGGAAGGCTGGGAGGCTAGGAAGGCTGGGAGGCTGGGAAGGCTGGGAGGCTGGGAGGCTGGGAAGGCTGGGAAGGCTGAGGCTGAGAGGCTGGGGAAGGAAGGCTGGGAGGCTGGGAAGGCTGGGAAGGCTGGGAGGCTGGGAAGGCTGGGAGGCTGGGAGGCTGGGAGGCTGGGAAGGCTGGGAGGCTGGGAAGGCTGGGAAGGCTGGGAAGGCTTTCATGCTGCACACGTGAAACTCTTGCTGCTTGTTCTCATCCAGGGAAGCGGGGCTCAGACCTTACCCAGGGCCTCCCCATTTCCCCTCCACTCAACCCTTCTCCTGCTGCCCTTCCAGGATGAAAACAACTCATCTCTGCTTAATAACTACGTCCTGGGGGCCCAGCTGAGTCATGGGCATGTGAACAACCTCAGGGATCCGGTGAACATCAGCTTCTGGCACAACCAAAGCCTGGTACTGCTGGGGGTGCCCCCATTTCCCCTGCACCCCTGCCCCTCTGTGACTCTCCTGTTGAACATTGGTTTGACCAGACCCAAACCTGTGGAACCATCTGGAAATCCATCACGCTTTGAAAATTCCTGCTCAAGAAATAAGAGAGAGAGAGGTTTTTACTCATGCATTTGTCAGGATGCTTTCAGTTGCAAGTGAGAAAAGACCACCTCAAGCCAGCTTGAGCACAGAGGGAACTGATTGGCACACATCAATGAAATGTCTAGGGGTGGTCCACCAGCTTCAGGCACAGCTGGATCCAGGGACGGATCTGATGCCCTCGTGGCTCAGTCTCTCTCCATCTCAGCAATGGTCTCCTGCCTTGGCTGTCCATTCTGTGGCATGATGGATGCTGAAGAGCTAGACTTCCTTTCCTTCTTCCCATCAGGCTCTTCCCCTCACTCGCCATCCCCAACCTGCCCCAGTGCAGATCAGGGTCTCAGGATCTTAAAGGTTCGACTGGGTCATGTGTACATCCCTGTACCTGTCACTGTGTCCAGGGGGATGGAAGGTGTGGATTGGCCAGGTCTGGGTCACACGGCCCAGGGACTGGGGTGAAAGAGTGAGCTCCTAGGGGAAGTGCAGATGCTGATCCTGGAACAAAGAAAGGGCTGCTCATTGGGGGTGGGGGCAGAGTGGGGTGGCTCACAAGCCTCAGTGCCTCCTTTTCTGGTTCCTGCCATTCCTGAAAAGCCCGGAGCCTCTGCTTTCTGCTCCATCTTCCCTTCAGCCTCACCAGGACTGCCCTGCACTCTACATTTCACCGTCATCCTTTCCTTTCATCTCTGGGCTTTTGCCACTACGGTTCCCTCCACCTGGAATGCCCTTGCCCTACTCATATTGAAATCCAACACGTCCTCTAAGGCCTCAGGGCCCCCACCTCCCCTTCTCCCTTTGGGTCAGCTCTGCCTGCCCTCCACGGTTTTCCGTGACGGCCTGTGTCATTTCCTCCACCTCTCCACCCACGTGACTTGGCGTTAGGGTTGTCTGTGGATGCGTCTCCCCCGACCAGGCATGGGTCTGAGCACATTGCTGTTCCCCACGGGGACGAGGGGAAGGGATCAGCTGGTTAGGGAGTGCCTACTGTATAAAAGGCCAGAGCTGGACACTCAAGATTCCATGTTGCCCTTTGTTTTTCCACCATTCTTATAATATGGGTATGAATGATCCTATTCTGTAGATGACTAAACTGAGGCACAGAGCAACTTGGCATCTTGCCCGGGTCGCTCTGAGAGCCCACAGTGGAGATGGGACTGGAATCTGAGACTGAGGCCAAAGGCCAGCCAGTGCCTGGTAAAATGTTGGCGAATGGACAGTTGAGTCACCGTTGGCCCCCAGGACTCCCAGACACTGATCTGCAGCCTTTCCTCTGCACCCTATGACTGACTCCAGTATCTCCACCCAGGAAGGCTACACCCTGAGCTGTGTCTTCTGGAAGGAGGGAGCCAGGAAACAGCCCTGGGGCGGCTGGAGCCCTGAGGGCTGTCGTACAGAGCAGCCCTCCCACTCTCAGGTGCTCTGCCGCTGCAACCACCTGACCTACTTTGCTGTTCTCATGGTATGTATGCATCCTGAGTGGGGCCCAGAGCTGTAGAGGGCCCTGTGTCTGTGGCAGAGGAGCAAGGCAAAAGCTGGTGCAAGGGGCAGAAAACCCAACTTAAATGGGCTTAAGCAAAAAAAAAAAAAAAAAAAGAAAGAAAATTTATGGACTCATGTTCCTGAAAAGGCTGGGTTAGGCTTCAGGCATGGCTTGATCCAGGAGCTGATCACTAAGATCACTAAGATAGCACTCTATCTCTGTCCCTCAACTGTGCTTGCTCTGTGCTGGCTTAGCCCTCAAATAGGAACTCCTAATATGAGATAATAATATAGCTGGCAGCAGTTGCAGGCTCATGCCCTGCAAGCTTTCAGACCAGTGGAATAAAATCTTTTACCCAGTTCTGCCAGCCATGTGCTCATCCCTGAACCAATCACTATAGGCAGGAGGAGGGAGGGCCCTGCTTGACCAGGCCTGGCGCACCTTTCTGCACAGAGGGGGCAAAGTGGTGGAACCCCCCAGGTGCATAGGGAGTAGGGGAAGGGAGGCACTCACAGCAGAAGAGGGAGATGGGAGCTGTGGCGGGGGTAAAACTCACTGTATCTGCCATGGGCTTGTTCAGGCCAGGTCCATGGCTAGGCTTGTGGGGAAGGGGACTTGGAGAGGAGGCCTCAGGAGGTCTCTCTGACTGAGGCTGGGAGGGAGGGCGACACTATGCTTCTGGCCTCCAGCCCCTCTTCCCTTCTGCAGCAACTCTCCCCGGCCCTGGTCCCTGCAGAGTTGCTGGCACCTCTTACATACATCTCCCTCGTGGGCTGCAGCATCTCCATTGTGGCCTCGCTGATCACGGTCCTGTTGCACTTCCATTCCAGGTATTCCGCTGCCACAGTGCTGGGCCTGCCCCCAACTGTGGCACATCACCCTTCCTTGTGTCCCATTTACTCAACTAGAACTGGGTGTGCTTCTCCAGAGGGTGGGGGCCAGGAGGTGGGAGACCAGCCTCTTGGTGCGACTGCTGTGGGATCCCTGCCCCTTCTTCACCTCATTTTCCCCGTCGGCATGCACCAGTGGGTAGTGCTGCCTGGATGATGTCCCTGGGCCACGGAGGGCCATGCTCTCACCTGCAGGAAGAAGAGTGACTCTTTAGCACGCATCCACATGAACCTGCACGCCTCCGTGCTGCTCCTGAACATCACCTTCCTGCTGAGCCCCGCATTTGCCATGTCTCCTGTGCCCCAGTCAGCGTGCACGGCTCTGGCTGCTGCCCTGCACTACGCGCTGCTCAGCTGCCTCACCTGGATGGCCATCGAGGGCTTCAACCTCTATCTCCTCCTCGGGCGCGTCTACAACATCTACATCCGCAGATATGTGCTCAAGCTTGGTGTGCTAGGCTGGGGTAAGCACAGTATCTCTCCTCTCCTTCTCCTCAGACCTCCAGGCAGGCAGGTTATTGATCCCCTTTAGTCCTTTCTTTTCCCTCCTCCTCATCATCATAGTGGCCATTACATGACCACTAGCTGTGATCTCTGTCTACACCCGCCTCCACTTTCTACATTACTAATTTTATCACCTCTTCCACCTCCATCATCACCATCATCACCTCCTCCACCTCCTTCACCACCATCATCACCTCCTCCACCTCCGTTATCACCATCACCTCCTCCACCTCTATCACTATCATCATCATCTCCTCCACTTCTGTTATCACCATCACCTCCTCCACCTCCATCACCACCTCCTCCACCTTCATCACCATCATCATCACCTCCTCCACCTCTACCACCTCCTCCACCACCACCATCATCTCCTCCACCTCCATCACCACCTCCTCCACCTCCATCACCTCCATCATCACTTCCACCTCCATCATCACCATCACCTCCATCACCATCATCATCACCTCCTCCACCTCCATCATCACCATCACCTCCTCCACCTCCATCACCACCATCACCTCCTCCACCTCCATCACCACCACCTCCACTTCCATCACCTCCATCACCAACAGTACCATCACTGCTACCTTCATCGCCGTCCTTGCCCCTTTCTTGCTTATTTCTGTTTCCTCAGCAGTTCCCCAGTCCTCCCTCCCTTTTGCTCCCCACCATCACCATCCCAGTGTGACCACTCCTCCCTCCACCACTGTTCCATTGTAGAGCTGAGCTTCCTCCAAACCACCAGGCTTATTGCCCTGAAGCTGGGGGCTCAGAACAGTCTCCTCCCAGTTGTCCCTTGCCCAGTGGAATTCTGTGTCAGCAGCCCCAGGGACCAAGGGCCAGCCCTCTCCCACATCTCCTGAGCCTTTGTCTCACCCCTCAGGGGTCCCAGCCCTCCTGGTGCTGCTTTCCCTCTCTGTCAAGAGCTCAGTGTACGGACCCCACACGATCCCCGTCTTCAACAGCTGGGAGAATGGCACGGGCTTCCAGAACATGTCCATGTGAGTGCCCTCAGGGCTGAGTGGGCTCCATGGCTCTGGCGGAAGGGCCACATGGGCCTGGGACTCCAAATGGAATATTCTGTAGGCAAGGCACTGGCTGTGGGGCAGGGAGGGAGCTGGGGCTGACAGGGGAGTTTGCAGGGGGCTCCATCACATCCCTTCCATGGATCCAGGTCTCCTGCAGAGGCAGCCTTGTATTCTATGCTGACAAAGTCTGTGAAGCCACATCTGCTCGCCAACATGCCAGGGCAGCCGGGCCTCCCGTCTCCTATGTCCTGCCCCGTCCTCCAGTGCCCAGGCCCTGAGGGTCTGGCTCAGCCTGCCCTTGACTCTGGTCCCCTGCAGACCACCTTGCTGCACCTACCCAGGCTCCGACTCCTCCCGATCTGCCCTGGGCACTGCCCGGCCTCTCAAGCCCTCCTAGTCGGACGAGAATGCTGTGGGGGCTGGGCTTGGGGGAGGCAAGGAGAGGCAGCGAGGTGGGCCTTTGGGGGCCGGGGGACACGCTACTGCTTTTTTTTATAGCCCCTCTCTGCAGGCGAGGACATTAAGGACACTATTTATTATTATGTAGCATTTCTAACAGCCAGACATAGACTAGCCTAAGGAACCCCCGCCGGCCTGTCACTCACTTGCAGTTGGCTTCTTTTTCCTTCTTGGCTGATGAAGGCTTAGGATAGCTGGGGGCTGATTCTGTGGCAGGCCTTGGGTATCAGCTGGTTTCGTATTCACAAGGGTAAGGGCTGGGTCCTGTTGCCAGCCCTATTTTACAGTTAGGGCCCCTGAGAAACAGGCAGCTTCAGAACTCTACCTGAGGAGCCCCAGCCAGTCAGGGGCAGAGCTGGGATGTGGTCTCTGGCAGGCTGGTCCAGAGCCTGGCCCCCAGCCCCTGAAGCAAGGCTGGGGGACTGCGTGGTACACAGGTGGGCCTGATCCCTCACAGTGAGGCTTGGGTGTATCAGAGGACATGTGACTTCAATTTACATGAATTGTTCTCTGCAATCTCCTTGACAGCCCATAAGGCAAGTGCATGATCATCCCTATCCTACAGATAAAGAAATAGAATCTCTGGCCTCAGTTTACATACTCTTTGAAGATGTATTTTCTTTTCTTTTTTTTTTTTTTTTTTTGAGATGGAGTTTCGCTCTTGTTGCCCAGGCTGGAGTGCAATGGCGTGATCTCAGCTCACTTCAACCTCCGCCTCCTGGGTTCAAGCAATTCTCCTGCCTCAGCCTCCCGAGTAGCTGGGATTACAGGTGCCTGCCACCATGCTCAGTTAATTTTTGTATTTTCAGTAGTGTATTTTAGGGTTTCAGCATGTTGGCCAGAGTGGTCTCAACTGACCTCAGGTGATCCGTCTGCCTTGGCCTCCCAAAGTGCTGGGATTACAGGTGTGAGCCACTATGCCCAGCCTATTTTCTTATATAACAATGTGATGAGGACAAAGGAGCTATAGTGACACATCCACAGGACCCACTATGCACAGATGTTAGAGAACACCCACCTACGAGCCAGCTTCTCCCTGGGTCTCCCTCACTCTCCCCTCTCCTCTCAGGAAACAATTACCTTGGGGTTTGTGACCTTTTTTCTCTTCAATTTAAAACATCTCTTACTATGTATATACACATATCTAAACCCAAACATCAGTTAAAAACCAAAAACAGGCTGGGTGCGGTGGCTCATGCCTGTAATCCCAGCACTTTGGGAGGCCAAGGCGGGCAGATCATGAGGTCAGGAGATCGAGACCATCCTGGCTAACACAGTGAAACTCTATCTCTACTAAAAATACAAAAAATTAGCTGGGCATGATGGCGGGCGCTTGTAGTCCCAGCTACTTGGGAGGCTGAGGCAAGAGAATGGCATGAACCCGGGAGGTGGAGCTTGCAGTGAGCCGAGATAGCGCCACTGCACTCCAGCCTGGGCAACAGCAAGACTCCGACTTCAAACAAACAAACAAAACACATCCTGGCCAACTTGGAGAAATCTCATCTCTACTAAAAATATAAAAATTAGCCAGGTGTGGTGGTGTGCACCTGTAATCCCAGCTACTGGGGAGGCTGAGTCAGGAGAATCGCTTGAACCTGGGAGGTGGAGGTTGCAATGAGCTGAGATTGTGCCACCGCACTCCAGCCTGGAGAGAGAGTGAGACTCCATCTCAAAAAACAAAACAAATACAACCCTTGAAAATCATTCAGATGTCCACTGACGGGATGCTGGCTGAATGGACTGTGGTAGAGCTGCCCCTGTGGGGATATTCCCTAGTGGTGAGAGTGAGTGATCCCCTACCACACTCATCAACTCGGAGGAATCCCAAAATAATGTCCTGGGACCCTTGTGACTGTAGGGGCAGGAGCCATGAAGCGAACCTGAGCAGGGGATTGTGATAGTTACGGGCTCAGGCTCTGGGCCGGGGGCTTTAGGTTCCAGCTTTGCCTCTAACTGGAATGTGTTCCTGAGCCAGAGCCTGAGTTTCCTCATCTGCAAAATGAGGATGATTATGTACTTGCCTTATGGCTTGTCATGGAGATTGCAGGGGACAATTCACATAAAGCACATCATTACCGGTGGGGGGTGTCCAGGTTCTTGGCATCTTGAACAAAGAATTGGACAAGTCTAGGCATAGTGGCTCATGCCTGTCATCCCAGCACTTTGGAAGGCCGAGGCAGGTGGATCAGCTTAGGTCAGGAATTCGAGGTCAGTCTCGACAACATGGTGAAACCCCATCTTTACTAAAAATACATAAAAATTAGCCGGGTGTGATGTTGGGTACCTGTAGTCCCAGCTACTCAGGAGGCTGAGAGAGGAGAATTGCTTGAACCCGGGAGGCGGAGGTTGCAGAGAGCCAAGATCACGCCACTGCACTCCAGCCTGGCAGCAGAGACTCCCTCTCAGAAAAAAAAAAAGAAAAAAGAAAAAGGACAAAGTGTACAGAGTGAGGAAGGAATTAAGCAACAAAAGCAGAGATTGATTGAAAATGAAAGCATGTGCAGGAGTGGGCCAGAGCATAGGGCCTCAAGAGTCGTGTTACAGAATTTGTGGAGGTTTAAGTACCCTCTAGAGGTTTCCACTGGTTACTTGGTGTACGCCCTCTGTCAATGAGGAGGATGAAGTAAAGTTACAAAGTCATTTGACATACGCCCTATGTAAATGGAGAGGATATTTCCTGTCATAGCTGGAGTGTTTCCATTTGATTTATTTTTATTTATTTCGAGATGGAATCTCACTCTGTCACCCAGGCTGGAGTGCAATGGTGCGATCTCGGCTCACTGCAACCTCTGCCTCTCAGGTTCAAGTGATTCTCCTGCCTCAGCCTCCCTAGTAGCTGGAATTACAGGCACCCGCCACCATGCCCAGCTAATTTTTGTATTTTTAATACAGACGGGGTTTCACCATGTTGGTTAGGATGGTCTCCAACTCCTGACCTCAAGTGATCAGCCCACCTTGGCCTCCCAAAGTGCTGGGATTACAGGCATGAGCCACTGCGCCTGGCCTCCATTTAATTTAGTTCTAGGAAGTCCTTACGTTCACTGTCTCTGAACCCTATTCTCCTGCCTCAGCCTGACATTGTGTCTGACTAAAAGGTGGCATTTGTCTTGAAGGTGTCTTGAGGAGGCGGAGGGTGGAGGCCTCCGGGAGGGCCCGGGATCAGGGCTGGCTTCAGTCAGTTCTCCATGGCTCTGTGCTCAGCCCTCAGTGAGCTCTCCTGCTGCTCTGTGTGCTCTCAGGTTGACACTTGGAGGGCCCTTGTCCACAAGCCATGGGTTGGCAGCCAGCCCACTGTCCAGCACAGGCCATGGTGGCCCCGTCTAGGTGGGGAGAGGCTCCTGGGTAGGAGCGTCCCACTGCAGAGATGAAGATGAGGCGGCGACAACCATGTAGTGGGGTGGAAGGGGGAGTTTCCAGGAAAGAGGGCTCTGGGCCAAGCGTCTAATAGAAGATGGGGCACGCCGGCCTCGGGCTGGCCATGGAAGCAGAGAGGAGTGAGATGTGGAAAGGAGACAGGAAGAATTTTCAGGGTGGTGAAGACACGGGGACGTGAGAGAAACCACTGTGGCTGGAAAGGTGGGCATGAGGGAGCTTCAGATTGTTGACCAAGGTGGCAGATGCGTCCTCTGGTGGTGGCCTGGCTGGAAAACCGGGTGAGGGGCTTCACCGTGTGTTCAGTCAGGCAAGAAACAATAGAGTCTGAGCCAGGAGACCGAGTGGGGCTTCAGGGAGTGACGCTGGCCTCCGCGTGGGCCTAGGAGCCACCGTGAGCCCGACACATCACCTTCCCCTGCAGATGCTGGGTGCGGAGCCCTGTGGTACACAGTGTCCTGGTCATGGGCTACGGTGGCCTCACGTCCCTTTTCAACCTGGTGGTGCTGGCCTGGGCGCTGTGGACCCTGCGCAGGCTGCGGGTGCAGGCGGATGCACCGAATGCCAGGGCCTGCCATGACACTGTCACCGTGCTGGGCCTCACCGTGCTGCTGGGAACCACCTGGGCCTTGGCCTTCTTTTCTTTTGGCGTCTTCCTGCTGCCCCAGCTGTTCCTCTTCACCATCTTAAACTCACTCTACGGTAGGGCTGGAGGGCGGCCTGGAGGAAGCCACCTGGCAGGGGGTGTATGGCTGGTGGGATGTTCACTGCCAAAGGGGTTCAGGTGAAGGGGGGCGAGTGGGGCACTGACATCCAGCCCACAGCCCCACTAGCTAAGCTGGTGGGGGCTACATCTGCATGAAGATACCCTGTGGTCTGGCCACAGCAGCTCTTCCAGCTCTGAGGCTCTGCCGCTGCTGGCCTCCTACAGTAAGATTCTGGGAGTTGCTCATGGGTCCCAGGGAGGCCAGCTTGCTGCAGCCAAGGAGACCCTGGCCTCTGGGGAAGCCCACGCTGCCCCGTAGCACTCCCACCTACCAGCCTTTCTCTTGCAGGTTTCTTCCTTTTCCTGTGGTTCTGCTCCCAGCGATGCCGCTCAGAAGCAGAGGCCAAGGCACAGGTAGAGGCCTTCAGCTCCTCCCAGACAACGCCGTAGTCTGGGCCTCCTGGCCTGGAACCCTCAGCCTCTCTGGCTGCCAGTAGCCTGAGGCCACGGCTCCCACTAGAGGGTGGCAGGCTTGCTACTGGACCCCAGAGGCCACTGTGACCCTCAAGGGGCCTTTTCCACTTCCACAGCCTCTCCAGGCACTGAGGGGAAGGTGTTGCTCTACCTCTCCCTGACATTTTGCTCCAGGGCAGATCCAACCTCACCTGGGGCAGCAAACTTTGTCCTGGTACCTGGGCCCAGCTGGCCAGGGATGTGGGCAGAGCACCAGCCTGGGCATCAGGAGGCTGAGTTTCAAGACCTGGTTCTGAGTCTGTATGACCCTGGGCCTGCCACTTCTCACCGACCCTGGGTATCCACAGCTGTGACATGGGGGCAAGTGGCTTTGTCCAGCTTAACCTGGGAGCTTAGTAAAGATTGCATAAGACCAGGGGGAAGAGTGTCACTATGGGGTGGGAATTCCCACAGCCTCCACCTGCTTGCTAGGGGCAGGATCTCATCCAAGCTGCCATGGAAGCACCTGCTTGGCCCTGTCATATTCCTCCTGGGGAGGGCCAGACGGCATCTTGGTTTGGGGCAGGTGGGACCTACCCAGGGTCTGAGACTTTACTGGCCTATGCCTGAGGCCTCTTTTCCTTTAACTCCCTAAATTATGATGACTCCAAGTCCAAGCCCACCCTTCCCGAAGACTGGGAGGTTCAGCCCTTCCCAGAGCCTCCTCCTGCGTACTCCCAAGACTTCTACAGACCATTTGGACCAGAAGTCCATCCCACAGAGTTTTCTTGGCGGGCAGAGGAAAACACTTCTTTCTCCTCCTGCTGAATCAGCTGGACCCCAGTGACCTGGCTATTTGGTGATTGGGCAAGATTGAATTTGCCCTGGTAGGCGTGAGAGTGTGGGTTTTAAATCCAAAGCTCAGGCCATAGTTGCAGAGAATCACCCTTACCCCAGACCTGTCAGACCCTGTGGGAGACAGCGCTCATGAAGCCAGTGCGTTTCCCCGGACGAACACGAGGGGGAGCCGCTGGCCAACACTCAGAGGCCCTTGGCGCCAAGACTGCATCTGGAATAGCTCAAACACCTGTTTGCAGACCCCATGCACCAGCTGGAGGGGCCGTAATTGCAGGACTGTGCCTGCTGAGTGACCCGCTTCCCTCCAGGAGGAAAGGCAAGACACGTTTACACGGCCATTTATCTCTTTTCCCAATGCGCCGTTGCGCTGTCACTTTTGGGGGCTGCACCCCAGATGTAGCTGGCACCAGAGCAGCGCTGGGGGAGGTGCTCAGGGCCCTGCCCCAGGCCATCGGGCAGTTTTGATGACCTCAAAGGTCACAGGCAGAAAATGGGAGCAGGATTTCCTCTGGAAAAGTTCTCCTGGGACATCTTCTGCTCTTCTGTACATTTCTAGATGCAAGTAACTCCTTCACCAAGCAGTGAGTGGCACAGGCTCCGGAGCCAGGGTGCTTGGGCTCCAATGCCAGCTCTGCCACTTGCTAGCTGTGAGACTGTGGACAAGCCACTCAGCCTCTCTGTGCCTCAGTTTTCCTATTTGTAAAATAGAGGCCAGTGGTACCTATTTTGAGGACTAAGTAAAATAATTCAAATAAAGAGACTTGGCACAGAGTAAGTGCTCAGTAAACGGTTACTGGTATTATCATTAGTATTTTTGCTATTATTATTATTAACAGTGTTGACTGAGTTTCAGAGGCCCGCCTGTCCAAGCCCCAGGCCCAGGTCTGCTCAACCTTGCAGGCACAACCCCTTCTTAGGCACATCTCACCATGCCTCAGTTTCTTTCCCCAGAGGGGCCTCTACTCCCACCTTGCTGGCTTTCTGCTGTTCTAGGAATAGTCCCCACACAGTGCAGCCTCCAGGCCGTGCCACATGTCCCCCGACCTCCCAGTTCCCCAATCTTCCAGTCTATTGAAATTCCTGGTGGTCATTTATCACATCTTCTACAAAATCGCCCCAGTGGTGGATAGAGAAGGCCTCTTTCCCACACTAACTAACTCCAGGCAGAATCTCCCCACCCCCACCACCATCTGGGTGATGTGAGCACCCATCCAAGCTCCCGTGGTTAAGCCCAGGCTCTCCAGGCCTTGGGGTGGGGGCTCCCCATGCTAATGAGGGTCCTGAGGAATCATGGGAACCTTTAGCTCTTCTCTTGGGCAGCTCCAGGGGAGCTGGGGGACACAGGCTCCTGCTGTGGCTGGGTTTGCATAGAGCCCTCCAGCCCAGAGCCTGGCCCCAGACCTCACCAAGCCCAGGGCTGCCCAAGGGAGGATGTGGCCACAGTGACACGGGATGAGACTGGCAGTTTCAGGAAGCAACCTGAAGCTTGTGGCCCTGAGCCCCGCTGGGGTCCAGGCCCTGGGCAGGGACCACTTCCTGGAAATGTCTCACCTGGGTGTGGGGGAGGGACTGAGGGAGATGGTGTGGAACCAGGGTCCCGTGTCCCCCTTCCTCTCTCCCCCAGCAAAGCCCAGATGGGGCCTGGGGGCCAGCTCTTGGGAGCTTCCAGACTCTGCCAGAGGATGGAATAGGGTGGAGTCTAGGGGCTGCTGTTCAGGGCCAGGGACTCAGAGCAGGCACTTCGTGAACAGATGACATGTAAATGTCAATGGGACCACAGATTAGGAGATTTCTGTGTGTGGTTTTGTTACTGTTATTTCAGAAAGGGGTGTGTGCATGTGAGTGTATGCGGGGCTATTGAAAATAGGGTTGTCAGATAAAATATCAGATGCCCAGTTTGGAAGACATAGTAAAACATTATTCGTTGTTTACCTGGATTCACATGTAGCAGGGTATCCTTTGTATTGATGTATTTTGATTTTTGCTAAACCTGGAAACTCTAATGAGAAGAGCATTGGCTCAGGAGTCCGGGGTGTGGACTCTTCACTCTCTAAATCCACCCAGGCTGTGCTGAGGGGGCAGCCCCTCGGCCCATGGGATGAGTCCCCCTCATTCACAGCCCACTCAGCTTGAGGTGTTCCTGTTGCCAGTCAAAGCCATCTCTAGAAACCCCAAGGGGTCTGCCTTGGGTGTCCCCACCTCTGCTATCAGCCCTGGTGCAGACCTAGCCTCCATCTCCTGCAGAGGCCCCGTGGCCTCCTTGCCTCCCCACTCCCAATTCCAACTTCATCCAGAAGCTAGAGGGTGTTTTCCATCCTGCAGCCTGCCCGTATCCTCCCCTGTGGAAGCCCTTCCACGGCACCCCCTCTTCATTGCCACACTCCCCACTGGAACTGGAAAGGCTCAGGGTCTGGCTTGTGTCCCCCCTCCAGCTGTGTCTTACCACTCCTTCCCCCCTCCTCCTCGGTGCTGCCACACTGAACAGTTTTCAGTTCCCTGAACAGGTTCTTTCTCATCTCTGGGCTGTTCTCTATCTGGAAGGCTCTGCTGTGCGTCTCGTTTGTGGAGTGATGGCGACACATCTTCATTCCCCTCAGTCCAGACTGGGAAGTGGTCCCTGACCTGCAGATCTAGGGTGGAGCCTCCTTTCAGCCCCACCACCCCCGCCCTCCCCCTGTGACAGACGTTCTTTGTGTTATGACTGTCCCTGTCTGTCTCAGCTGCCAGACCGAGAGCATTTTGGAGACAGGTGCTGTGTCTCATTGACTCATTCATTCACCCATCACGTAATTGTTAAACACTTGTTATATTCTAGGCACTGCACTAGTTGCTGAGGATATATAAATGAACAAGTCATCACATTCTTGTGGGGAAGGAATGTCTTACACTGAACAGTTTAACAAAGAGACAGACAGGACAGGTGGTGACAAGTGCTGAGAAGAAAAATTAAGGAGGGTGAGGGAATAGAGTGGCCAAGAGCCTGGGTTTCAACAGAAGGAGCTGGAGAATGAACCCAGGGGCGCTGGAGCTGGGGGCGTGGGAGAGTATCAGAGAGCTGGCATGAACTGGCTTATCGCCTGGAGGGGAGGGCTGGTTCCAAAGCCAGTCTTATAGCAATTTTTTCCATTTGGTGATAGTGAACTTTGGAAGAGCTAGGGGTGGGGAAGATGGGAAGTTGAATCTCCTCTGAGATACAACTCTCTGAGGGGACTGAGGTAGTCCTGGGTTAGGGTGCGCCCTGCTACTGGCAAGAGAGAAGCAAACTCAATATGGAGGAAAGCTTCCCTTGGTTAGGCCAGGAGGATGCCCAGAGTGACATCAGGCAATGGGCTTCAATACAAAACTTACCAAATCACAAGAAAGTAAGCCGCTGAGTGAGAGTCAGCAGAAAAGAAGGAAGTAACAGATTTAGACCCCAGGAATGGAATACAGAGTAGCCATATATGACATGTTTAAAGAAACACAAGATGCAGTCACAAACATGAGCATATAAATGAACAGGAATGAAGAGAGAGAGAGATTTGGGGGGAAAAAAAGGAACTTCAAGAAATAAAATATTTTCTCAAGTTGGATATGGTGTCTCATGCCTTTAATCCTAGTGACTCAAGAAGCTGAGGCGGGAGGATCACTTGAGGCCAGGAGTTTCAGACCACCCTAGGCAACATAGCAAGACCCCTGTCCTAGAAAAAAAAAATAGCCAGGCACGGTGGGGGCACACCTGTAGTTCTAGTTACTTGGGAGACTGAGGTGGGAGGATTGCTTGAGCCCAGGTGTTTGAAGCTGCAGTGAGCTATAATCACTCCACTGCACTCAAGCCTGAGTGACAGAACAAGACCTTGTCTCTACTAAAAAAAATAAAAATAAAAAATACCTCAAAATCTAAAATTCAACTAACAGTAAACAGTTGAATAGAGAGTTAATTAGCCCAGCGTGGTGGCATGTGCCTGTAGTCCCAGCTACTCAGGAAGCTAAGGTGGGAGGATGGTTTGAGTCTGGGAGGCAGGGGTTGCAGTGAGCCGAGATCGTGCCACTGCACTCCAACCTGGGCAATAGGGCCAGACCCTGTCTTAACAGCAACAACAAAAAACAAACAAACAAACAAAAAAAGAGAATTAGTAAGCCTGGAGTTATATACATAAAGCATGCAACAGAGATAAGATGGATAACATGAAAAGAGGTTAAGAGATAAAGAGAGTAAGAATGAGAAGATCTTATATATTAGAGTCCCAAAAGAAGAAAATAAAGGGAATGGGAAAGAGGCGGTATTTGAAGACGAAATGGCTGCACGTTTTCCAGAAGCGATGAGAAAACACAGTCTCAGAAGCAGGAAACACGAAGTATCTCAAGCATAATGCATAAATCCATGCTTATACACATTTTATTGAAACTACAGAATGTCGGAGAGAAACGATGAAAGCAGGCAGGGAGAAAGGACAGATTGCCTATCAAGGACAACAGAACGTGAGCTGGCTTCTCAACCACCGTGACAAAAGGTAGGAGGCAGGAGTAATAGCTTTAAAGTGATGACAGCAAATAAATGTCCACTTAGAAGTGTGTCCAGCAGGGGCCAGGTGCTGTGGCTCACGTCTGTAATCCCAGCACTTTGGGAGGCTGAAGTGGGCAGATACCTGAGGTCAGGAGTTCGAGACCAGCCTGGCCAACATGACGAAACCTCATCTTTACTAAAAATACAAAATTAGCCAGGTGTGGTGGTGCACGCCTGTAATCCCAGCTACTTGGGAGGCTGAGGCAGGAGAATCACTTGAACCCGGGAGGTGGAGATTGCAGTGAGCCAAGATTGTGCCACTGCACTCTAGCCTGGGTGACAAGAGCGAAACGCCATCTGAAAAAAAAAAAAAAAAAAAGTGCGTCCAGCAAAACTGTTGCTGGTGGAATATATCCAAGTTACCGTTGGTGAATCCGTTTGGATCTGCAGTAACCTCTTGCCTCCTCAGAAGAAAGAATTTGACTGAGGGGTATAAGGCAAAAGGAGAGACTGAGCGAAGTTCAGAGCAGGAGTCAAAGTTTATTGAAAAGCTTTAGGGCCGGGTGCGGTGTCTCACGCCTGTAATCCCAGCACTTTGGGAGGCCGAGGTGGGCGGATCACTTGAGGTCAGGAGTTTGAGAACCCCCTGGCCAACATGTTGAAACCATGTCTCTACTAAAAACATAAAAATTAGCTGGGCCTGGTGGTGGGTGCCTGTAATCCCAGCTACTCGAGAGGCTGAGGCAGGAGATTTGCTTGAACCCAGGAGGCAGAGGTGACAGCGGCCTGGGCAACACAGCGAGACTCCATCTCAAACAAAACAAAACAAAACAAAAGAAGGCCAAGCGGTTGACCTGAGAAACCGAGTGCACAGCTTGGCCTCTTGACTTGGGGTTTGATACCTTGGCATACGTCCAGGATCTTGAAAGTAAGCTGCTTCCCGCTCCTGAGCTCTTACTGGGAAGCTGCTGATCGCTTGCAGGTGTTTTCTATTAGGAGACTGCCTTTCCCCCGTACTGGCTGTGACCAATTACTTTACAGAAACAGTTAACAACCAACTGACCACCGCCTGAGAGTCACCCAACACTCCTAGTGTGTGTGTGTGTGTGTGTGTGTGTGTGTGTGTGTGTGTTGGGGGAAAGTCCTTTCCTGCCCTGCTCATACCTAACTAGTTACCCACTGTAATAAAACTACCATTCAAGAACCAAGACGAAAAGGAAAAAAAATACATTTAACATATACAGGTAAATAAAAGCTGAGAATGACCCAAAGAAACTCCCAAAGGATGTACCTCAAGAAGG